TGTGTGTGTGTGTGTGTGTGTGTGTGTGTGTGTGTGTGTGTGTGTGTGTGTTGGTGCATGTGTAGAGGTCATGGACAACTCTGTGTAGTTGTTTTTCTTTATCTACCCTTATGTGGGCTCCACGGATTGAATTCAGTTTATCACTTTATGTGGCAAGCACCTTTACCCACAAAACCATTTTAGGGGCTGTCTCCTTTTGTTTCTTATTTTATTTTTTTCTAGATAGAGTCTGCTATGTAGAGTGGGCTTGAACTCACATAAATCCTCCTTCCTCAGCCTCTTGAATTTTGAGAGTACAGGCCTATGCCCCCATGTCAGCTTCTTAGATTATTTTATGTGTACGAGTGTTTAGTTTGCATGTATGGAAGGGCATCACATGTATGTATACCCAGTGCCTTTGGAGGGTATCTGATCCCTTGGAACTGGAATTACAGATGGTTGTGAGCAGCTATGTGGGTGCTGGAACTGAACTTGGGTCCTCCACAAGAGCAGCTATCATTCTCAATGGAAGAGCCATCTCTCTAATCCTTTATTTATTTATTTATTTATTTATTTATTTATTTATTTATTTATTTATTTATTTATTTACTTATTTATTATATATACAGTGTTCTGTCTGCACAAATCCCTACAAGCCAGAAGAGGGCACCATATCTCATTACAGATGGTTGTGAGCCACCATGTGGTTGCTGGAAATTGAACTCAGGACCTTTGGAAGAACAAGCAGTGCTCTTAACCTCTGAGCCATCTCTCCAGCCCCATCCTTTATTTTTTATTTTTTAAAGACAGGGACTGTCTATGTAGCTCTGGCTGTCCTGGGACTCATTATATAGTCTAGGCTGGCCTCAACTCAGAGCAATCTACCCGCCTCTGCTTCAGCTTCTTCTTTACCTTCAACAATTAAAGATTCCTTTTCCAGAAGCTTCTTGGTTTTTAAAAGTTTTAATTCATTGTTTATGTATTCAAAGTGCCTTCAGAAAATTGGAATGTAAACAGGGTCTTCGATGAAGTTAAGGGCTTACCTGCTAGTGTGATAATGGCAGCGTGGTTACTATCCCTCTGTTTAAATATCTGAAGTAAAATGTCACATCACATGGTGATGGCTACTAAAGCTGACTCAAAAAATTTCTGGGACTTATTTTCTACTTTGACTGTTGGAAAATTTCTTAATAAGTTAAAAAAAAAATCACTGTATAAACCAAGCAAAAACAAAGCAAAATGGTTTCCAGGCAACAATCATTTGAAATATTTGCCATACATATGCTGCCTATGCCAGGACAGCACAAGGGCTGGGAAATCAACTGTGGAAGATGGAGACATTGCTCTCCCCTGGTGAGATATATGCTCTACTCCTACTATCTCAAAAATCAAGTCAATCAATCAAATTAAATAAAGACAGCCTCAAGTATCCCAGGCTGGCTTCTAACTTACATAGCCAAGGATAACTCTTAACTGGTCCTTCTGCTTCCACCTCACAAGGGCTAAGATTACAGGTATCTACCATCATGCTGTTTCTGTGGTGCTGGAGATAGGACCCAGGGCTTCAAGGATTCTGGGCAAACACTCCACCAACTAAGTTATAAACCTAACTTTATGCCTCTGTTCTGATATTCCTAAGAAAATCTAGGGAAGTAAAAACAGTGGATGTGGCTAAATTAAAGCTTCTTTGTTCGAACTGACACAATCGGAATGCAATGCTATCATTCTGACGCCAAAGACACAAGCCATACTGTTGTTCACTTTATGTTCCATGAAGAAAAGTTTTGAAATCAAATTCACTTATGAGACACTAAGAGGAACTAACATTTAAATGGACCACAGTCTAGAGTTAGTCAACTGAGATTGAGGAGGAACACTAAACACACAAAGCTATGGATAACAGTAGATACACATGAGGTGGACTGGGAGGCAGCTCTGGATTTCAGCCTGGGGATC